AAAATGATGTGTTTACAGACAGAGCTTTGCTTTCCTGGCCGCTGTGTCTAAAACTTCCAGCGGGCATGGTTTGACAGTGTGTTGCATCCTGTCTGTGTGTGGGGGGGGGCAGTGGGCTGAGGAGGGCCTTTCTAAAGCATGATTAATTTCAGAATGTGGAGCCCTGAGGCAGAATTGCAAGGGGCCCCCTGTTTCTGGCCTATAAGCTTATATTACTGTGGACCACGCAGATTTGGGAATGGTTGTTGTTTGTTCCTCTTAGTTGTAACCCAGAACAAAATAATTCCAACACCATCACCTCAGAAATACTCAAATGACAACATTTAGTTAAAAAAAAAGTAGGTTTATTTGCGCAGTAGTCAGAATTTAGAAAATCTCACATAAAATTTGAGGATGGTCATTAACAGTGATATTCACGATCATTATCACTGCACTCCTTAGAAATCACCAGAAATGTTTACGTGTTTTTCAGGGTACCTGAAATATCAAAAGTAGAAAATCTCCAGTGGAACTAGCATTCGTGGTTTCATTCAGAGATTGACCACAGGCCTTTTTTTGTTAACAAGAGCCTTTGTCTACCCTTCCATCTTGCCATTTCCCCTCCATCCCCCTTTAAGACCGTCTGGAATTTGGCCTCAAGGACTGAACGAGTGCTCAGTAATCTCAAAGATGCTATCATGTATCTCAAGGAGGTTTAGATGTTCTCTAAAAATGACAAATTAAGTGCATCACAGAAAGTCCATCTGCTCTGATTAATCACATTAACCTCAGATCAAGGAGTCATTCATAATGAGAGAGAATTTAAGATCTGGAGGGAAGCACTGGTGACTTGATATGTGTATTTTGTGCAAACACATGAGTGGCAAGATTATTTTCAGTGATTTAATGAGATATGAAGTAGGTCTCTGAAATACTGTTCTATTTTTCCATTAACATATTTTGGCAATTTTCAACTTGCATGGCTGGGCACTTGATTAACAGGGGAAAAAAGAATTGGATTTGATGTAATTAACCCCTCTGATGAGATCGCCTTATTAATCTCTATTGTCACTTTAAGAGCATTAAATTCACATATGTCCTGGATGTGGCTGTTTAGCTTCTGACTTTCTGTGTGGCACACAGTTTGAGTCCTAGTCATAAAAGGCGTGGGAAACACCTTTCTTCATTGTAGTAAGGGTACCTTTCCATAACTGGAAAATACACAGACGCGGTGTTACACGCTGGGGACAAGCAGGTTGTAGTGTGGATCATACCCACCGCTGCCCTTCCGAGTCTCCTAGAACTGTGTCCTCCTGCTCACAGTGACTCCGTTTCTACTGAACAACCCTTTAGTCGCTCCCTGTGGTTATGATCTAAACCTGATAAGTTTTAACCATATTGCATTTGAAACGAGAACCTGAGACAGTGTGTCGAATAGGCAGGCAGGTCTGCCGGTCTGAGGCCCGGGAGGAGCTGTCTGGGGCAATGACGTTAGCTGCAGGGTCCAGGGGGAGACAGTCCCTGAGTGGGAGGCTGGGGCCTATGGTCAGCGAGAGGTCCTGGGTCCTGCCCACAAGGGGCGGCCGCCAGCAGCCCAGTGACAGCACAGATCTGCTCATCCCGGAGCTTCTCATTTTTGAAGGGAAGCCAGAAGCTCAGACTTCTTTGTGAAAACTATAGATTTTTAAGTGTTCACAGCTAATGGTTTTGTTTTTGAGATTTGCACAGGACGCCCAGAATATCCATGAGCTGGGTTTTCTCTCTGGTCACCAGTCTTTCTGAGCTTTGTTGCAGATCCTTTATCCCAGCTGCCAAGGCTTCACGGTCTGTTTTGGCCTCATCTATCCAATATGGAGTCTTCAGATGTCCTGTATTTTGGCTGGACTTGACTCTCTCCTTTCTCCAGAGTCAGGAGGCTCGTCTCCTGTCTAAGGCTCAGACCCTCCCCACGGTCACCCTCACATGGGGCACCTCTCTTGTCCTCTACTGTCCTGTGAGACCCAGCTCAGGTCCTCGGTGCCAGAGCCTGTCCCCACCTACGGTACCCTCACTGCGCACTTAGATGCTTCATGGGTGACTTGCAGTACGAGGGTCTTACCTTCCCAAATCAGTTGCATAATTTTTCAGGGCAAAGATTGAACACGGGGGCCTGTTCTGAGGCCTGGCAGACTCTCAGGTGTCAATGGGACCAGCTAAGAGTCTGAATCTCTTAAATCCCCCCAGGGACAAGGGGCTCAGTGCCTCCTGCGACATCCGTGCCAGCTTTGGACGGCTCCGGCCTTAGGAAGCATGTATTTGCTCAATCAAGCTGAGATTTCTCTCCCCAGCTGATGATTTTGTTACCCTGGGGCATTTACACTCAATTCTCTTGCCCCTTGTAATCGTTTTCTGAATAAGCAGGACACTTGTCAATCGAAAGGAGCCGTTCTTGTCTGTCCAGTGTGGCCATCTACATTTTAACAGGGTTTTTAACAAGAAGCAGTGTTTTTACATGGAAGTAGACATGACATGTGCACACTTTTCTCCCTGTCAAGTTCTGAGGGAGATTTTGGTAATAGTGACCTGTACTCTGGGGTTTCACCATGTTTTCTTTTGAAAGTACTTTCCTTTGAGGTTTCTACTTTTATCAACATTAATAAACGTTCCCTAAATTGGTGACCTTATGCTTTTCTTTGCTTGATATTCCGGCATCTCTTTGGGGAACTGATTTCTGTTTTTCTTCTCAACAATCAAAATAATTATCGGTGTAGTAAGTTTTAAATCTCATACGATATTGTAATGTTCAGACCCATCACTTCTGCCCTGGGCAACAGAAGTATCACGACACTTGGCTATAAAAGTAAAAGCATTTGAAGATTTAAAATTGGCTTATGTAAGCAGACTTTTGCGACTAAAGCTTTCCTTTATTGTGTTGTTTTACAGGACACTGGAAATTACACTTGAGCTGTAGAATCCCATGTGAGGATGTTGCCAACCGACCAGGCTGCTCGCCGAAACTCATGGCGGTTTTGTGTGTTCTTAGGTGCTGTCATACTCCTGGGGAGGACCAACATGTTTCGCTTTAACCATCCAAAGGAGGCCGCCAAGCTCAGGGAGAAGAGGAAAGTGAGTAGCATGGGACCTCCAGGCACCAACTGTGCTCTGGGGGAGGGAGGCGGGAGGCTGGGCCGGGGGGGTGTCTCCACTCTGTGCCAGCAGCGTGACTTACGGGAGCCCAAACCACCTGAAAAGCCCTGCAGCCTAAATTGATTCTAGGGGTTTGCTTCCCAGCGGGCGATGGCCTGAGGAAGTCGGGCGGCAGATAAAAGCCAGAGCAGAAGGAGAAACACTCGTTCTGGAGCCTCCTCCTCAGCCCTTCGTCCCCCGCAGCAGAGATGGACATCGTTTTCCATTAAGTGGAGACTGACTTCCACTTACAAGGATCTGTTTTAGGAGTTAACCCAGGATCAGAATCACTTTCATCTCAAAGTCTGCTCATTTTTTATTTTCATTTTCAGTAAATTGGATTTTTGATTGGGGTGTGAAGCAGAGAGGGGGTGACTCCAGCTTGATTGGCTGGACCATCCAGAGGGCACTGCAAGTGCTGGATGGGGGAGGTGGGCAGAGGAGCAGAGAGAGGAGGAGAAGTCCGTCTAGGGACCCAGGGCTGTCCTTAGACCGAGGACGGTCATAGAGTCACGGCTGGTGTGGCCGTGAGCAGAACTTCCACGTGGACCACTTTATCTCTACTGAGGCCATCATTACCCCCACGTCACAGGGGCTCCAGATGAGAAACTGAGACTCACCTGTTCCATAGCCAGCAAGTGGGGAGCTGGGGCTTCCACCCTGGCCTGCTGACCCAGAAGGGTTTGCCTTCACCCTGTGTTATGCAGCATCTTAGATGGGAACTAACAAGAAAGTCACGAAGCCCACCTTCTCTAGGCTGCCATTCCCAGCCAGTGAAGCCTCTTACCTGTTCAGCCAGGGTCTCCCTGGGGCCCTTTCTGGGACACAGTTGCAGAGTCAGAGGAGGAGGAAAACACACTTGCCACTGGCTTTCTGTGGACAGGTCCAGCTCTGGCTATTTTCGTCTCCCTTTTCCTCCCTCTGCATCCGCATCTGCATCCCCTCAGCAAGTGTGAGGGCTGCTGCCGCCAGGGTACCACACCTGCCGGGGAGCAGGGGATGGTGAAGATGCCATGAGCCTTTCCCTCCCCTGAACGCAGCAGCCTAATCAGGGGACCGACAGGACTGTGATTCCTGTCCGAGCATGCTGGGCCCCAGTGGTGCTTAGTGTGGGGCTTGGGCTCCAGGTGGATCCCTAGCCTGACTGTCCTTGGCGGGCCGTCCCCAGGTGGACCAGTTGGGAGTGTGCCACTCGGGAGTGCACGCCCCTCATTGCCCATCGCGAGCAGAAGGCGGCGGGTGCAGAGTGCAGCCTTCCCTTGCCTGCGACGTAACCGCCCTGCTCTGTGTCTGCTCGTAGAGTGGCCTCCTGTCCTCCCTCAGCCTGTCCATGACCGACCTCTCCAAGTCCTGCGAGAACCTCTCTGCCGTCATGTTGTACAACCCAGGGTGAGTGGACAGCGGCACGCCCTTCCCTGTGATTGTTGTCCTGGTGGTCTTTGTTGCGACTCCATTAAAGTCACTTAAAAAAAAATAAGATAAAAGTAAAACTTCTGCAGTTAGGACTCGCTGTCAGATCAGCCGTCGTCATTTTCTGGGTTCCTTTCCGGCGCTCGCTGTCTGCACATCCTTTTACTTAGTTACAGTCATGACTCGAATGGGAGGACGCGTCCTGGGTCTTTGCTGAACAGCAGGCAGGCACGGGTAAGGGTTGTTCAGCCTCATTCTCACCTGCAGGGCTGTCAGAGTCGGCACTTTGAGTGCTCAGTGCACAGTCCCATCGGCTTAGGTAGGCGCTTTCGTTTCATGTCCTAAGTTTAGTGTAATAGCAGAGACAACCCTGCCTCGCAGGGCTTCGGATCCCAGGAAGCTATGTGCAGTACTTGCAGGTGCTAGGGGACCACTGAGGACAGCGGTAGTGTTTTAAAGGGACTTGTGGCAGGTGACCTTGCGGCCAGCAGAGCTGCGCAGGCCCTTTGTGGTTTCACTCGTGAAATGATAATGAAAGTGCCCCCAAACAGGGAACTGGATGAAAGGACTCTGGGGTCCTTTCTCGTTTAGTGAAGTCCTGTGATTGTCTCTTTCCCACAAGGAGAACCTCCTGTGACACAGTGGCGGTAGATCGCTAGCTGAGCGAAAGAATCAGAGCTGGCGTCTGTTTCGTAGTCACTGTGCGCAGGCGCGACACCAAGCGCCTCTCCTAGAATTTCTCACGTTGACTTTTTCTCCGTTTCACATGTAGAGAATCGTTGTAGGTCTGCCCGCCTCGGTTTTGTGGGCAGAGCTGCGGTGTGTGTCCAGGTCTGTCTGACCCCCCGCCGATGACCACCTGCCCTCCTCCACTTGGGCAGTGGCTTCAGACCAGGGGCCAGTGACATCGCCCGTGACCCCTAGCTCAGCACTTCTCCCCAAGGCTGCACCTTCCCTCCCTCCGCTCAGGTCAGAACTCTGGTTTGTGGAGAGCACCATGCCTGCAGGGGATTTCTTCACTCCTGTAGGAGTTTGCAACTTGGAGGGGCCATTGATCCCATTTCTGGATCCCTAGCCTGACTGTCCTTGGCGGGCTGTCCCCAGGTGGACCAGTTGGAAGTGTGCCACGTGGGAGCGCACACCCGTCATTGCCCGTCATGAGCGGAAGGCAGCGGGTACAGAGCGCAGCCTTCCCTTGCCCACGACGTAACCGCCCTGCCCTGTGTCTGCTCGTAGAGGGACCTCCTGCCCGGGGAGCGCAACCCCATGGCTGCAGGCTCCTGTGCGCCTCCTCCTCCCAGACCTTCTGGGAGCACATGCAAGCATGTTCCTCCCTGGGTCAGCCTTTCCCTGCACCACTTGTGAAGCTTTTCCATCTTATTACACGGTCACTGAGAAGAGTTGTGCCCGTTGAATAAATCTGCCTGGACTCAGCCGTGGTGACTGGTGAGGCCCCTGACACGGGAGAACAGTCTCAGAGCAACCAGGTTATTGGTACTTCCAGGAGGCACGTTTCATCGTAGGTCTTTAAGTCCTTCTGGTAGTTTGACCTTCCTACTTTAAGCAGGACGGAGACTGACTCATTCGTATGCTCACTTTATGCAGGTTTAATGTAACACGCAGGTCTTCAGGGTTAACGTCACCTGAAATCACACATCCTCACCTGCTCGTGCCGTGCGGCTGGTTCAGCCTTTGCCGGGTGCGGAGGGGGCTTGCTTGGGTTCATCTCCCCGCTCGAAACCCAGTTCCAGTCCTGGAATCCGGGTCCCCGCTTCGGTGTCCCTGATGGTGGTGGCTTCTACTGTGAAAACACTTGGGAATGTTCTGTGGCTGCTTAGTGCCTCTGAGAACCAGCAAGGGGTCTGCATTCAGCCTGTCCTCTGAGACCCAGGGTCACCACCTGTGGGCCCCTCTTTCCCTGGTGTTTACAGAGGGGACCTCAGGCCTTCTTTTCGGTCCTCTGAACACAGAAGAACGTGTAGTCTCTCCACAGTCCTGCTGTTTTCTGTCACTGGCTGGTTTTGACGTTAAAACAGTTTTTCTCTGTGTCTGCACAATGTAGGTCAGAGTGTACTAGTTTCATCCCCAGGACTTTTCAGTGATTTTCTGTGGTCTGAAACCTCAGATCCCAGCCCCTCACCACATCACTCAGCCCCCGTCGACTGTGCCCTCCTCCCAGCCCTGCCCTCCCATGTCCTGGGGAACCCCCAATCCGCCCCACCAGCTCCCTTGGGGCTTTTCCTTTGCATGTTCCAGGGCCCGGCATGAATCTCCTCAAAGTGTAGTAAATGCCATCTCCCCCGACGCTGTTCCCAACTCCCTTCCCCCAGTCAGAAATAAATGTCCCTTCCTCACTGTCAGGGCTCCAGTCCTGTCACCCCGATTTCCTCCTCTTCGCAATGTACCCGCATCTGTCAGCAAGCCCTTTCTGAGCGCCCCCCGGGAAGCCTCCCTGGTTCTCCCCACAGGGGCACAGCTGGGGTCGGTTTGCAGCTTGCTGCTCGAGAGAAGTGATCACAGGTAATTTACAAAGATAGGCAGAAAATGAAATGAAATGAAAATAAAATGGCTTGGGCGGAATTGGATGGCGTGATCAGGGAGGGCTCCCTGAGGAGGGGACATTTAAACTAAGACCTGAGTGGAGGGAGGATGATGCTTGTGCAGCGGGGAAGGTGAGAGTGGAGAGTGTTCCAGAAGCAAGCGCAGTGGCATCCGACTGAGTCATGGGGAGAGTCCAGGGCAGATGGAGTTGAGCTGCAGGAGTGGGCCGAGGTGAGGTGGGGGGCGGCTGGGGGCCTTGGAGGCCACCAGAAGGAGTGTGACTGTTTCCTAAAAGTGCTGGGAAGCCATTTGAGGTTTTTAAGCAGTAGAGGAAACAGAAGACAAATTTCCTGTAAATACTAGGGTGTGTGTCATTTGGAGAATGTAGCATAAAAGCCAGAGGCCATTGAGAAAGCCGCTTCTGTGCCGTGTGGCTGGCTCAGCCCTTGCTGGGTACGGAGAGGGCTTGCTTGGGTTCATCTCCAAGCTGGAAGTCCAGGTGGGAGGTGGCAGTGGCTTGGGTCTGGCTGGTAACCATGGAGATGGAGCATCAGGGGACTGAGGCGGGGTCCCAGGCGTCAGGGTTAAGTCCTCGGGCAGACGGTGCAGCTGTTCCTGAGGTGGGGGCGGCGGCTGGGGGCAAGTTCAGTCTCTGCGTTCAGAGCTGCATTTAGTACCGGAACCGGCTCATGATCTCAGCACCTCAGGTTAATAGTCAGCAGACCTGGTTGCAGAGAGTAACCCAGGTAAAGTGCTCACATGGGTTCTGCAATGATTCTTTGGATTCTTTACTGGATTAACCATTTTGACTTTTGCCATTGCTATGGTGACTTTCTCTCTGGATGGTAACGTTCTCGTTTTGGTGACAGTGATCACTACCGCCTTTGTTTTTCTCATCACTGTTGGAGCGGTAACTTTTGATAAAGTGTGCCAAAAACCAGAGGCATTCAGCACTCCCCAGGTGGAGGGATCATGAGAGTATAGCACTGAACATTTTGAAATTCAGGCTTTAGCGACGGAGAAACCTAAAGTCAGTGCCTGCATGTAACCTTACCTGAAACCTGGGTATCTTTAGGCCTTTGGACGTTTTTAAAGTCTTTTGAACATTTTTAAAGTAATCAACATTGACTTTTTGAAAGCTTTAAAAAAAAAAACACCGTGTGAGTGTCTTTCCTAATATTAGATGGGAAATCTTCACAGTCAGAGGCTCCTCTTACTAACTTCTGTGTTCTATCATGTAACGTGCTTGGTAAATGTTTAGCAAACAGATTAAGAATGAAATTTTAGTGAGATACATGAGTCCTGCAGGGAAAGGTTCTTGCTGATTCCACTGGACATGGATGTTCCAAATGGTGGAAAATAGCATTTGATGCAAAGGAACATTTCTGCGTGTCACGGGTCCGTTCCCAGGTGACGCTGCAGCAGTTGGATGACCTCACAGTCAGGTTCCGGATCCTCAAGCAAAACTCAGGGAGCTCCTCATGGTGAAGGGAAGGCTTGGACCCAGGTGGGCAGAGACTTCGACGGGAAACAGCCTGCAGCCACCTGAGGAGACGGTTCTAGGTGCCTCAGACACCACCACGCACCCTGTCCACCTGGCAGACACATTTCGTATCTGCCACTCGAGCAGTAGTCATTTGTACAAATTCAAATGCAAATGACCTAACACTTAGTCAGACCTTCATCCTCCCTGCCTTCAGCCCCTTTCAACTTGCCACCTGCTGTGGAGAATGATTACCCGTGAATTAGAATGTAACTGGAGAAATGTTGCCTCCTCTGGGTTATGGGCAGCAGACGCCTTGCAGAGTGATCTGCTCCAGCCTCTCGGGAAACAAGCCGGATGCGGCTAAGCCGTGCTGTTCGCACCTTTTTTGATGTTACAGGTGTACATGCCCTTGGGCTAAACGAAGCACCACACGATAAACGGGACGAAAACTGAACAAAGTGCGTTCAATACTTGGACGGACTAAATAATTGTTACTTAAATCGGCTCCCAGGACATAAGAGCATGTTCGTTTCTCAAGATGGAAACATAGGACTGAGGTGCTTCAGTAGAGCAGTGCGTTTGCCAAGGGTCTGCTGTGTGCAGTCGGCCTGTCAGCGTCAGGGCAGTGTTTTCTCTGCCCAGGAAAACACACACAGGCACGTGAGCCCCCTGGGCGCGAAGGCCAGGGAGCGTGTGATCCAGGGCCGAGGTCCCGCGGGAGGGGAGCGGATGTGCCTCGGAAGGGATGCCCTTCCTGTAGCCAGGCCTTGTCGTGTGTTGGCTTGTCTAGAAACCCAGAGACTTCCAGAAGGAGTCTTTCTCCACACTGAGATCAGCTCCAGGTGGCGTCGTGGGATCTGCGCCGTAGGCCGAGTAACTGGAACCCGCTTGCCCTCAAGCTCAGGGGGCCGGGCCTTTCTTCCTGTAGAGTGCTCCCCCGGTTCTCACCCCG